TACAGGTGAAACTCGAATAATTAGAATATCGTGCAAAAGTAATTGCAGTAAGTGCTGCAAAAGGGGCCCAAACCAAGTACTGAGTACATATGCATGCTTGCACTTTTCAGAGGTCCGATATTGTTCTATGTACAATCCTTGTTTTATTGATTGCATGTAATAATCTACTTTTTTGAGGTTGTGGATTTGGGGTTCTTGGGGTTTTCATGAGCTGTAAGCCATAATCATCACAATTATGACAAATCACGGCTTGAATTATCTTGCTTTGCATGTAATGAGTCTATCTCATATATTAGTTTCACCTTTTAAGTTGCATTAGTGAAATACATGAACTTTGCACAATATTCTAATTATTCGAGTTTCACCTGTATAATCACTGTACTAGCCAATTTCCTATATTTAATGTTATTAAAATTTGCTTTTGCATTTCAGTCTGCAGCCAGCCATTCAGATTTCTTTGCATTTACAGCAACAACAATGTTTTCAGACAGGGATTTGTAGAATACCCATAGTCCTACTCCTAATATTGGCTCACTGTCTCTACTATCATTCTGTGGGGTTATGCTTACTCAAAGCAATAACCTTTTGGATTCCATATCACTGTTGTTTCCACTGTGCTTTTCTTTCATTCCCAAGCTAGCTCTTTTACCTCATCACTTTTGCTCTAAAATGATATGATTTATGCTTTTTTAGTCCATCTCACTTTCCACTCTCAAACAGAAACACAACCTTTTTATACAATCTTTTCTTTGTAATGTTTAGCTGCATCAAAGGCCTTCACATGCGTTCCTGGACTGTCTTTTCTCATTTCAAAAAAAAAACAATTGGACCTCCTACTCCTAATATAAGCATTTTAGTGCAATCTCTTTCCTTGTATAGTCTCCCTGCATGGATATTTCAGAAACCCCTGGGACCTGCATACCATCTACTAGGAAATACTTCAGTCAATTTTTAGGCTGATCTGTAGCATTTTACCTTCTACAGCCAGCACTACTGATCTGCACTGCAACAAATGCACTGAAGAAAGAGAATCCTATACAAGTTAGCAATAATTAACTATTCACTCCAGCCATGTACGGCTGTTTTAAGCTATACATCGGCTGGCTTTGGCTCCCTTCAGTTCAGTCGAACAGCCTCAGCGCGTTCTGGTGAAATGAAGTGAAGAACACGTTTGTCTTAACTGATCCAACATCTGGATTGGCTGAGGCAAGCGTTCTGCAGTTCAGTCTCTGCTGTGCACCCCTATTCTCACAGCGGTAGCGAACAGAATCAAAAAAATGACATGTAAAATAGAAAACAAAACAGCTTGGGCCCCTTGTTTAGCACACTTTTTGAATGTAATTTGATAACATTGGGCTGTCATGGCATCAAAACAACTGGTCGGAACCAGCCTTGATGTAATGGCTGGCCCCGCCCATCTGTTTTAAATTTAAAGAGCGATTTGACAGGTGGCGGCCAAATGTCAACAGATAGGCAGAGTCAGCAGTGACGCAATCTGTTTACATTTTGCTGGCAACTGTCAAATCACTCATTTAGCATTGTGAGCCTGTTGGGAGCGGTCGGGTCCAGCAGTCGGCTTATTTATTTTTATTTTGATGAGTCTGTGCCTGTCGGTCATCATGATTGACTCTTGATTATGATGTTGGATCCTTTTTTTAGGTGGGGGAATTGTTTTTCTCAATAAAGGAATTGTCAAAAACTGGGTATGTGTTTTTTGTTCACTTAAAGTATTTTTTACAGACGTCTGATGTGTTTAGTTACGTTTTTCTTTAACCCTTTAGTGAACGGGTAGGGGTACAAGTACCCCTTACTCATTCGCAATGGGGGGCAGTATCTGTGTGTCCCCATTATTGATAGGGGTACCCTGATGCAAATAAGCCCCCCTGCCAACAGACCCCCACAACCACCGGGCCAGTGTTTTGGAGAAGAGGCCCTTGTCCCCATCGGCATGGGGACAAAGTGCTTTTCCAGGGGCCCCCCTGGAGAAGCACCCTCCCAATGCAGAGGGCATGTGGCCTGGTATGGTGCAGGGAGGGCGGGCACACACTCATCCAGTTCCAGTGCTCGGATTAAGGGTCTGGTTGGGAATCTAAGGGGGATCCCACTTTTTTCCCATTTTTGGGTGGTGGAGTTCCCCCTTAAAATTCCTACCAGACCTAAAATGCCTGGTATGACTTTTGTGGGGAACACCACACATTTTTTTAATTTTTAACTCGGAGGTTCCTCCTAACATTCCTACCAGACCTAAAGGTTACCTAAAATTCCTACCAGACTTAACATTTTCCCGCTTCGGCTGTGTCTTCAGCTCAGCCGAGCCGAAGCATATACATTTGGCTCGGCTGAGTGCTTCGGCTGCTGTATGGGCTATTGAGAAAGCCTGTACAGCAGC